ATTCATGAACGATAGATTTAGGAATTAAAAGTAGGACTTAAAATTTATTACTTAAATTCTAATCGGAGCGACTCTACTTACTCTTTCCTTTCAGTTAATCCCTCGCTCCGCTTCGCTCCGCTTAGGATAACGAACCATTTATTATCACCTAGAAGCAGCGCTTGATATTAGTACAATGCAATCACCCGCTATAATTTCGAAGTGATACACACGCCGATTTGCTTGTCATGTCGGGCCTTGCTGCTTCAAAAATGCATCCTCCTCCCCGAGGTGTTTTTGATGTCATCACTTGGTGATACAACGCAGGTAAACGTGGCGGTGAGACCTTGGTATACTGTTTTCCTCTTCTATATTACATGCTCCATGCATCAAGCTTAAGAAAACTTTGAGACGGAACGAGAGAAAGCTACAATATGCTCACAATGCCGTAACAATTCTTCATTCAATCGTCACTAGGCCTACTGACAACTGAAGAGATTACAAATTCTTATTCCTGGAGGTCCGTGTGGAGAACGCACATGACTATTGAAACCGGGTGAGGGAGTCTGATGAAGTGGCGTGACAATATCTAAGCAGAAAGCAATGCGTCTGGCTTCATCGCAGCACATGTGTCAGGAAATCCCGGCAGAGCCACGGCACAGGGATTAGCGTCAGTGCTTGATATGGGGCAGGGTGAAGAGATCGTCTACACGTGGTCCGCAGGCAGTAGAATATAGGTAAGGGGTTGGAATACATCTGAATCCTGGCCTTCCACAGTCCTCACATATACGCTTTAAAGCCCTTGATCACCTTATCGACTCCCTACTTGGTAGCTCCGCAGGGCCGCCTGACAGCTAGTCAGGGGCTGAGAGCTATGAGAGCGTATATATGAGGACCACAGAGGGCCCTCCAAGCTGCGGGGAGCCAAAATTCAGATGTATTCCGACCTCATACCTGTTATCTATTGCCTGCGGACAAAGTAGGGAAGACCTCTTCACTATGCTTCAAATCAAGCACTGACAACGTGTCGGCTCGAAACACGAACTAACTAATAGATGGTCAGCGTACGGCGGGGACGGCTGGAAAAAGAAAAGACAGACAAAGGCAAATGTGGCTGGTAGAGGCCTTCAATTATATTGTTGTAAGAACTGTATTTTTCTTGTCAGGAGTATCATGGATGATCTTATGCAAACCCTTCGCGTCCAGAGGTGAAGGCATAACCCCCCCGGTTCAAGTTCTTGACTTTTTACTCATCAAGGCGTTTCTAGAGCACGATTATGGAATAGAGGGGACAGAAAGCATCTTAGAAAGTGTCCAAGAAAGAAGTAGAAGGGATCTGGGTGCGTTACGTGGTTGACAGCCATCGGAGACTGAGGCATTTAGACCGGGGCGCAACCTTACTGTAAGGAAGTGTCAGAGCGTGGTTAAGAGCAGAGTGGAGGGGTCTTCCACAGGGTCCGCGGGTAGTTAGAATATAGGTATGAGATAGGAATACATCTGAATTCTGGCCCTACGCGTCTTGGAGGGCCCTCCGCAGCCCATAAATACGTTCTCTCGTAGCCCTGAGCCCCCTGACCGACCCCCTTGCTTGGTGGCCCTGGCGGCCCGCAGGGTGGCCTGACAGGAAGACAGGGCGGCATGCTTGGTGCATTGCTTCAAAGAGAAGTTTCAATCGACTATTGACGACACGTCGTCAAAATGGAACTTATTTCAACGACCTTCGAGTTAATTCACTGTGTCAGAGCGTGGTTTGGGCAAAGCAAAGAGGTCTTCTGCACATGATCCACAGGCAATAGACAATACGTGTGGGGTTGTCATACATCTGAAGTATGGCCCTCCGCAGTCCTAATATACATGTTCTCAAAGTCCTGAGCCCCGGACCAGCCGCCTGTTCCGTGACTACATAAGGCCACCCGACACAGTGGTTCAAGAACAAGTGCTGTATTTGCGGCGAAGGCAACTTTGAATGGACACATGCTTTAGTTTAAGCTCGAATGGTTTCAACAACATTTTGTCAAATTCTAACTGTAAATACTCATCGATGTTTCGTTTGCCGAGTTTCATAAAAGCCGCTTACGTGGAGATTATGATACTGATGAGAAGTTCTTCTACGAGATTTCTGGACTTTACCACATGTGCTTGGCATGAGAAAGAGGCTAGCACGTATTCAGGGTTTAATCATGATACCTTTAGTCATGAGTAAAACTCATCCTTCTGCTTACGCTCCAGCCGTCCCGGAATAACATTCTTGATTGTTTGAGCCTACCTTGCGCATCGTGATTTAGCAATTGGCATTCACTGCCTATCTATTTGTTTACTGAATGGGACCACATGTCAGTATCCGCGACTGGCAGACCCTGACGCAGATTCTTTGTAAAATGGAA